CTCTTGCCAGTCTCAGGGCTTCAGTAAACGAGAGCAGGGCAGTCTCAGTTGAGTGGCTGCTTTTGAAGCCAGATTGGTTGCTGTCCAGAAGGTTGTTCTGTGCAAGAAACATCGCTCAAGTGTCTTTGCAATGAATGGAAGAAGGGGTACTGGTCTGTAGTTTTCTAAAAGTTCTGGATTTAGAGAGGGTTTTTTAAGCAGTGGGCTTACCCGAGCCTGCTTAAATGCTGTGGGAAATGTACCAGTGTGAAGAGAGGTGTTGATAATGTGAGTAAGTGAAGGTGTGACCGAAGAAGAAATGGCCTGAAGGAAGTGAGTGGGGATAGGATCAAGTGGACAAGTAGTAGGATGATTGGAAAGGATAAGTTTGGAAACATCCATCTCCGAGAGTGGAGAGAAGGAGGAGAGAGAGTGTGTATTTGTCGTTATGAAGTTATCGTCGGTTTGTGGTGTGGGGAATTGGTCACTGATGGTTCTTGTTTTATTTGTGAAGAAAATTGCAAAGTCATCAGCTGTAAGATTTGATTAAGGAGGAGGGGGAGGAGGACAGACAAGAGAAGAGAAAGTTTTGAAAAGTGTGCGAGAGTCAGAACAGTTGTTAATTTTGTTGTGGTAGTATGTCGCTTTAGCAGTGGAGACATTTGCAGAGAAGGAAGAGAGGAGTGACTGATACACACTAAGGTCGGTAGAGTTTTTTTATTTGCGCCATTTCCTCTCTGCAGCCCTGAGTTTAGAGTGATGTTCACGGAGAACATGATGATGCATACATTTAAAAGACATACAGAAGACATTCATATCTGAAATGTATTTGAATTAGTTGAAATAAGTTTCTCTGATCTTTTTTTTTTCAGGGTTTTTCCTCTTCCTGTATTACTACCACATTCACAATGACGTTCCGGGTTGTTTCTCTGATGATCCAGAAAACACAGACTCCACCACAACCATCGCTCAATCCAACATTAATGCTGTAGAAAATATTTATAACTAGCATAATTAAGACAGAAGGCTTTCTTTGCCTCAGACTTTCTTAGACTTATTTTTAAACTGATTTGTACAGCCATTTTTTTAAAGGGGAAACTGTGTATTCTCACCAAAATCAAGCTAAAGCAAAAAAAAAAAAAAAAACCTGAAAGAGAAAGAACTGTTTAAAATTGTGTATGCACATAAAATTATGTCCCTATAAAGGGCCAATTTTAGTGAAATAACTAGACAAATGACACATATCTGTGTTGATCATTATTGTAACTGTGTGTTATTGTGGAAGGATTGAATTGTGCTTTCAAATCTCTGATATGATCTGTTATGACTGTTGTTAGATTTATTGAGCATTATAATCATCCATGTGTGATCATGTGCGTGTCAGAGTGACTCAAACAACACTGAACCTTATTTAGAAAACAAATGAACATCTTTAGGATGACAGTAATGTCTGCACACCTTTGGATTCAGACATTTGCATGGTTATTTGATATAACAGCTCATTAAAATCAACACACACGGATGTGAAACATATTTGGTTACTGAAAAAATACTATCAGAATCTGCTGATGATTTCTGCATTATTTAATAATTCAGACCTACAAATGCTCTGTTATATCTCAGTACTCTCATGTGATTGTAATGAAGCTGTAATGAAAATGCTAATCTAAATATTGTCTAATAGCCACTAATAAAGGTTATGCTTTCATTGGCATTTTGTAGCTGCTTGTATTAAATATAAATATTCATTTTCTACATTTATATTGTGCTCTGTGAGCAAAGGTGACTTGATAAACTGGATATGGATCTTGATAATGAGATTCTCAGTTAAAGCCCAAATAAACATCTAGCGTAGCGTTAGTTCTGGCAGGTCACGTTAGTCAAGCTTGCATCACTTGACTCTCAGCTGGTCCCCATCAACCTATGGGAATACGACACCTATCTAAGCATTCATATATAAGGTCCCTCAGTATTATCAG